TCACGTCTTAGCCTACTGGCGGTAGAACCATCAAACCATTTTCAAACCAACAAACATGAAATGTTTTGTTTCCAATTCAGGCGATCCAGTCTATACTTGTATGCTTGTGCGCATCACATAGTAATCTAGGCTAATAACCGAAGAAGAACACATAATGTTTTCAAAAATAGATTCATGGTTAGTAGAGGCCGATCTTTGATCGGGCGAGCGGGGGTGCTCACGAAGTGACCTTCCCAATCGTACCCAAGTTCCGAGCCGAGGCAACTTTGGTGATGACGGACAGTGGCCTTAGGCAAACGAGTTAGGGTTTCCTAAATTTCCCAAAATAAAAATATTTAGGTGGACCTCTGTATCTGGCAAAGCAGTCCATGTTTGGCACTTCTTTCAAAAATCTGTTTTCTCAAAACGATTTGCCGATTTGGACTCTTTGGTCAGACTTGAACCGGACAATTTGAGAGTCCTGAGTGTAGTGAGCCCAATATGAACGGAACGGGGACTCTCCCTCCCGGGGCGTTCGGGGACATTACACCGACTGGAAGGCCTCTTTGTATTGTGGCAATGGCTGAGAATTGGGGTAGCAGTCCAATCTGGTTGATGTCTCCCAGTTATGACTATTGTAGGATCTTAGTGTCTCCTTTAGCCCATGTTCGATGAAGAGTAAGCTGGTCATCTCCACGGGTTTTGGTGTTCGTTTTGACCTTGTGACGAACGCCTCCGGCAATTGCGCGCCCAGGAGGCTATGCTGCTTCTAGAAGTTTCCGAACAAGTCAAGCCTAGGTCACCAAGGCTTGATGGGAAAGAAGTGATGCATATCAAAGCCTTCGTTTCGCCGATTATATCCGCCATACTGGAGGAAGTGGCTAGGTTATGTAGGGGTCCGTTCTTCCCTCGTAGTGGTTGAATTTTGGGTTGAAGGAAACCTGGAAAGAAGGGCGCTTTTCATTGCCGGAACGAACGGGCGAGGTCCTGCACCTTTGCTAATGCTTTGTCCGTTGGTTCATAAGGCAGGGCGTGGCACGGCATTCTGACTTCGACACTTCCAATGCGGTCCGAGAGCCAACCGCTGAAGGGCAGATACCCTGCGAGGGTGCGTGCCCTAGTATCCTCCTTCGTAATCGTGCCATTTTCTTCGACTATTCGAAAATCAGACGATCTTGGCAACTCCGTCTGCTTGGATGATGTCTGGTGCGAGCGCAAGTCGATAAGGTATATCCCTCCGTGTAAAGACCTCAATATCTCGTCATACAGACCTGAGAAACGAGTTTGGAGGTTTCTGGATTGAGTATCGCTGTCCTGGAGGCTTTCTACTCTCTGCTCTGTGATGGTGTGGATGTCTTCCAACGGTCTTATGAGCGGCCGAGGGGGCGGTTTTCTTTTGCGCCCCTCTCCTGCGCACTCCCTTTTCCCTTCATCTGGCGCATCAATGGCGTCCTGTTCGCCGATCTTCCTTATTAATTATCTTTGTCCTTCACGTGTGTCCTGCCAGAACTGAGGATCAATCCTCCACCTTAGTCTGTCGAGACTTCAGTGAAGAGAGTGACGGGGGCTGTTAGTCGCTTCCTCCCCTTGGATCCTCTTGGGATTATTTGGTCGTATGGTCTAAGTCTGCATGGGAGGGATATAAGGAGGCCTTCGGTCTTGCACCCCCTGCTGGGTTTTTCGGTCGATGGCGGCTGCGGCAAATCTTCAGTTGTGGGCCATTTGCTTCTAAAGAGGAAAAGCTTGATCAGAGTTATTGTTCTTTTCTGGAATTTCCTACAGACGGCGTCAATGTACTGGGAAAGAATTAAACCTTTCATATAGTCCTTGTTGATCAAGTCCGCGTCCTCCAACGTCGTCGCTTTACTCCTGAAAAGAACAACGTGAGCTATCAGGCGGGTGTGTGCGGAAACCCTCCGATGCCTAGTCTAGCAAAATAGACAAGTAGACAAAAGCTCTGTGTATCAGGAATCAAAGGTGTTACCTCTCCATAGAAGTGATGTTGTAAAGCTTTTAAAGGTCCACATGGCACATCCTAATAGGGACTTTTACTCCTCCTGTAGGTCTCCTAGGATTCATACTCCTGAAAAGATAATGGCCATACCCTTCAACACCCCCTCACTGCATAACAAGTGAGATGGTTCTTACCATGGTCAGGACTTCAACACATGACCATGGTAAGCATGGCTATGCTAGCTGGCAGACTAGTCGAGGTAATTTTGCTCGACTTTTCCATTCACTGCTTCTACCTGGCTCTTTTTAATGCTAACACGGTAATGTCTAGACCGGAATAAGCCAATACTCCGCCAAACGGGATATAACTTTGTGAGTGACGACCAAACTTACCATTAAGCTTTTTTGGACGCGGAGTACTTCAGGTTCTCTGCGGACCAGAGTAAACTTTACCACTCTTTGGGCCGGAGTAACTTTAACACCGTCTCTTGGGCCGGAGTACTTCATGGCTTTATACTCAGCCCTTTGCAACGTGGCCGCATAACGGCCCATTAACCCGCTGTGGCCAATTTATAAGTATAAATTACCTCTCAAAAATAAATGTAATATGAATTTGGAAAACTAGAGAGATAGGAAAACAAGTTTTTATTTTTATTTTTTTAGTCTGCACCAATATTTCTATTCAACAGCATCGATGTTTTCTTCTTTCCCTTTCCTACATATGAACAAATCCTATAATGTAAGCAATTAACAGGCCCCCAATTGAACAATGATGGCGACAGTTACTTGCGATGAAGATTCTCCCTTTCCGGATCAATAGAAAATTCAATTTCAAAATCCATCTATCCAAACAAGAGTCTATATTGTCTTTTTGAATTTATTTGGATTCTTGCAGGAGGAGTGGGGGAAGGGGACTAGTGAGGGACGGTGCGGTGGCGTTGTAAACCGATACAACTCATGCCAAAACAGTTTATAACTTGGAAACAATTCTCCACTTTGGCTTTCATCACAGCAATCGGAAAATTTGAGATAACCTTCTCGAAGGACATGTATACATTCCATAACATTCAAGTCCGGGTGTCATACTGTATATTTGTGACATTCTTTTGACTTGGGAACTTTTTTAGTACTTGTTTAGTGCATTTGGATACACAGTCTGACAAACTGTCGGTAAACATCGTGCGGCAAGGAAGAGGCCGTAGGCTATGTCGAGAGGGCGAGGCGGCAGGGAATTGGTGAGAACCATGGTGGGAGTGTTGGGAAGAGGAGAGGAAAGATTATATGGTTGGATTGTCGTGGTGTTTGGGCATTATATATCCAGAAAAAAGTTTGGTGGTTTGTCTGAGCTTGAGGAAGCAAAAGATTATGCAAAAGACAAAGGGATTGGGATATTGGAGATGAGTTTCATCTTCCCTCTTAATTCTGGGAGCTCTATGCACAGCTCTAATCCTATGATTTGCAATGAAAAAAAAAAAAAAAGACCACATACATACATTATTGTAGAGCCACACACTTATTAGAGTTCTCTAGAACTCTTCTTTTAAGAGCTTCCTAATCTTTTTTTCGTGCACAAAAATCAAGATTCAAATATTATTGAGGAATAGGTAGGGGAGAAGGAAAATTATTGTTCATACCCATTATAAAAGAAGGTATTCTCGGTGGTTCGGCGCCACTGCCTAGTTAATTTAGGTTGACTTCAATTATGGTCGATGTTCTTGTTTGGTTTAAAATGAATTTTTTTGAAAATTAAATTTTTTAATTTTTATTTTTTTTTTTAATTTTAGGTGTACCTAAAAATATTTTTAAAGTATTTTATTTATTGATAAACTATCATAGATCCTAATTGTTGGACTTAATTACCATTAAGTTCTATGGAGTTAGTCCTCAAAAAAATTTTTGCTAAAATAATTTTTTGTGACGCTTATTACGTATGTCGTTTAAAAATTAGACAATTAAAATGACTTTTTTTTTTTATCATGATTTGTTATTAATTGTTGCTAAATTTTTAATTATTGATATTTTTATATGACGAAAAAAAAAAAAAATGTTTTACAAATTAAACTGCAAGTTGAAAATTAAATGGCTTTTTGTAACATTTTTTTAAATTGGTCGCTAAGAAACTTATAATTATGTGACTCTTTTTATAACAAAATTTTCAAATTATCACTAACAATTAACAATTAGTGAGATTTTTTTAATAGTGTTTGCAAAAAATTTCATTAAATCATAAATTTATTAGAAAATAAATCTACATTATTAGAGTCTGACACGTAAAGCTCCCTATTTTATCGTAAACGGTATTTTAAATTATGCAACATCTAAACAATAAAAAAAATTCTTACAATATCAAAAAAAAAATTCCTAAAAATAGATAAAAACAAAAATCACATTGTTTAAAAAATTAAATAAACGCAACAAGGTGAGATCTAGATTCTGTTTGGTTTTGATTTTTAAATTTTTGTTTTTAAGGAGTGTTTCATATGTCTTTTAGTAATATTTTTTTCTTCGTGGTTTTAGTCATTTATTTTTAAAAATTGTTTGGATGCCCCTAATCTTCACTTTCTCTAAAAATAAATATTGTCAAAAAAGAACATAAGGACCAACAAATCTTTTTTTTTATTAAAAACGAGTATGATAACTCAAACAAAATTAGATCCATATAAAAAGTAAAAAACATTTTCATGAAAAATCAAATTAAACAAAGTTTGAAAAAGTGGATTCAATCAATGAAGTAGTTTCCGTTCAAAAAAAAAAAAAAT